ACATTTGGGCGGCATTATGCTAATATTTCCACATAGTGAGGTAGATATGTGGGGGCGTGTTAGAACGAGCCGTTTTAGGGGGGCATGGCAGAGTCTTAACTTTGATAAAGAATATCTCTTTGGTTTTGAGACTTTAGTCTTTGCAACTTCAGGGATCTTATCTATGCACAATCAGCTTGTAACACTCCAAAGAGAAAGGAAAACTTGAAATCGCATCATATGACCCCTTTAAGGAGTCAAAAGTCACCTCATATTAGGAAGGCTAGTTTTTGATCAGAATTTTTGATTATTGATCAGAAGGTGCTCCTAAATTATTTAAATTAGGAGGACAAGAGCTCCTAAAAAGAAAAGTAAGCATAGAGCCATGTATAACAGTATATTAGATCCGTGCATGAGGTCTTAAAGAGACAGCAGCCTAAATAAACCTCCTGCTGCCTTTCATTATACAAAGTGAAGTGACATGTGACATGTCAATGTCACATGTCACATGTCGACTAACAATGAAGACTAACCAGTGTTATTTTACAATTGAATCGATTATAGTTCAGTGGTAGACAGCAACGAAGTACTTTAACTTCGTTACTGTACTTAAGTAAATTTTTCAAGTATCTGTACTTTACTGGAGTAGTTTTATTTTGAGTAACTTTTACTTCACTACATTCCAAAGCATAAGATCGTACTTTTTACTTCACTATATTTCATAAAATTTATCGTTACTCCTTATAATATATCACGTGCTCCAAGACGCAGAAACGGTGTCTGATTCATGAACGAACTGATTATTTTCAATTAACCTTTTAAATCGGTTCGCAAATCGCACCAAACGATTCATTCCCGATTTGGAATGATCCGATTGCAGCTGTTCCCGAGTCGACAACTCACTGATTCAAATGAACCATTTAGTGCGAGTCTCCAGTGAACTGAATTCACAAGTAAGAACCGGGAGATCTTGTGAGCGCGCGCAGGTCTGATGCTGTTAAAGTAAGTTACTAATGTCGAATTTTAGGATTAATTATTGTAAATGAAAATCATATTTAGGTCAAAGCAGTCAGTTGTTTGTGAACTAAATCTGCTGTAAAGGGTGATCTGTTTAAGCCCACTGAAATGCTTGAATGCAGACACATTAACATCAGAGTCTCTATGTTTTAGGTCAAAAAACATTAAAATAACACAGATTAAATAAAATAACTAATGTACTCATGTACATAACTCATCTTCCCCGCTGCTGTAACGTTAGCAGTTTTACTAAAATGCTATGATTTTAGTCCTATGTGACATCTGCTTTTATATTTATATTTTATATTGTTTGTCAGCAGACATAGCCTAAGTTACTATGTATCTGGATCAACTAGCAAGTAGACAAATATAAATGTTTATTCATAACCATGCTGAAAATAAGTCAGTAATGTTAGCTGATGCTAACTGTCTAGCTAACGAGCTTGCTGGTGCTAAATTGAGGTAATTTAAAAAAAATAAAGTCCAACTATTTTTATTCAATCACCTAGATAGATTACATCTGAGGGAAAAAGAAAGGATGTGATGTTCAGAACATGGTAAGGTAACTACAGTAAATATCAAAGTGGGAAGTGATGCCCTCTGGGGGCATTTGGCCAGGGGTGTTTTTACACCACAGACAAGGTTTGAGAAGAAAAAAGTGATTATGAAAATCTAATTATATTTTCCTTATTATATTAATTATTTCCCTATTGGTTGTTTTGGGAAAATCCCAGGTATTTTGAGCAGTAGGATTATAAAAAAATATATGCTAATATAAAATTAAATGATAAAAGTAGCCTATATAAAACTGCAAAATAAACATTCATCTATCGGTACTTTTTACTTAAGTACATAAAAGATCAAGTACTTTTGTACTTTCACTCGAGTAAAATTGAAAACTGAGTATTTTTACTTTTACTGGAGTAAAATTTTATTATACGGATCTGAACTTTTACTCAAATACTTGATTTGTGTACTTCGTCCACCACTGTTATAGTTAGACCTAACTGAAAAAAAATTTAAGTACTGTTAATTTAATTTGTATCTTGTTATTGTTTTTGTTTGTGCTATTGATTGTCATTAATTTATTTGTTCTTATTTTATTATTTACTATTTACTTGTCTTTTTTAGTTAAAATAAATTCAATTCTGAGTGCACCTGATTCTTGGGTGGGGAGGGGGCATGGTCCATGGGAAATAGTCCTGCCACCACAGCTGGAAAAAATCCTAGGAAACACTGCATACATTTAATAAAATTAGAAAAATGCCATTACAAAGGTAAAAAGAAAATTGCCCTGTAAATCACTTTGAGTCAAATGTCACCTCATATTAGGAAGGCTAAGTTTTGATCAGAATTTTTTATTATTGATCAGAAGGTGCTCCTAAATTTTTTAAACAGGACAAGCGCTTCTAATTACAAGAAGAAAAACACTGCTCTTAAACTGTGTGTGTGACAGGTATGGCTGTGAAATGGGGTTTGGCTGAGGAAAAAATTTCAGTCAAAATATTTTTTTGTTTTTTTGCTTGAACCCCTGTACTCAGCAAGTGCTAACTGTTTTACAACGTAAAACTACTCCATGATTTCGACTGTTCTTAACAGTTAAAGGGAGCTCTTCGGTGACATCTAGTGCATCTACTGGCCTGTAGGTGGCGACCGTTCACTTTTAATAATGTGAGGTGCGTTTCACAGATGTAAACAAGGGGCTTTTTACAATTTTATGTGTGAACACGTTTACATCACTGTTGCTTTTTAACGTTTATTGCCTATAGGTCTTTCTAATGCTCAAGTCTCCTCTTTTTACTGTTTATTTCTATTGTTTAAAAACAATTATTTAATTCAACCTACACATTGTGAGTTCCTCCCACTGTTGTAGGTGGAGGAGTGCTGAATGAGCAATATGAGAGGCACTGCACTGTACATACATTCAGCGTCAGTCTGAATGGACAGACCACAAGGACACACATAATTTTATTCCATGATCAAGTCATTCATTGGAAGCCCTAAGAATCTATACTATGCTATGGAGCCATTTCATTCAAGACCTAATGAACATCACAGAAAATGTATGACAGGTTTAGGGTGACTGTCTCTCTTGGGTTGGCTGCATTTCCAACAGCTTAAGCATCATTCTCTCAATTGCTTTGGCTCAATTCTCAAATTAGATATTTGTCCCTTGAAACATCACATTTAGATCTGTGAAGAACTGTTAATTCATACCAGATTTGAATTTTTTATTCAAGTAGCCTATAGGCTTATGTGTATTGGCACATGTGTGCAAAAGATTAAGTACAATTTGCACAATAATGAAATGCAGGCTACATGGCTTGCTGATCAAAACTGATGAGCTGATTCTCTTTGAAACTGCCATACTCTTCACAACTTCTAAACCGCCTTTCATTGTGTGAGCATCACATGTAAAATGATCCATTCAGCTGTGAAAATCTGTCAGATATAGGCTACACATTTTTTTTCATAAATATCTATGCGTGCAATACATTGCAACAAAAATAAATGTACACTGTACAAACAAATGTGCATATTGACATTTCCCAGTGAACCTTTAGCTGCTGAAAACTCTAGAATCTAAAAAGTGCAGTGTGACACAATTAGGGTGACCATACGTGCCATTTTCCCAGGACACGTCCTGGCCAGGATTTCTATATTGCCTAAAATATCTAGGTTTTGGCTTTGTTCAAAATGCTCTTGAGGTATTTTGATGTCATACACAAACAAAGCCAAAACCTAGATATTTTAGGCAATATAGAAATCCTGGCCAGGACGCGTCCTGGGAAAATGGCACGTATGGTCACCCTAGACACAATAGCATTAAGCTATACAAAACGATAAGTTTTAGCATAGCCTATAGCGGAGAGACTGGTGGTAACTGGCAGCAGCAAAAATTTAAAATGTCACAAAATAAATCAAACCATTAATTTGTCCAAATGATATTGTAATAAATCAATTGTATTACAAATCCTTACAAACTTGCTCTGACCCTTATTCCAAAAACTTTCAAGTAAAATCTGCCATCTTTATATAGCTAGTTGACTTGGATTTTTGGCTCAAAACCACATAGGTACTTAGATACAATATTACTCATGCCAAACACTGTAAGGCAGCTCATCAAAATCTCCCCTATTCAGGCACTAGGATGTGCACACAGCTGCTATTTCCCAAGTTGACTACAAGGCTTTGCTCTTTAAGAGGGAAGAGCTTATCTTTTTTGCTCCACCTTCAGTGGTTGTGTTCCTCAGGGACCGGTTATAATGAGTCTCAGTTTCTCTGGCAGGCTGAGCTGGTAAATGCAGGTCTGGGCTGAGAACTCATACTTGCACACTGAGGTCATGACTGGCCAGTGAGATAATTTTTCAAGCAGATTCCTTGTGAAAAGAAGAGCCATAGGGCTGCAGTTCAACAATTTAGCTCTAACTCTAAAATTGTTGTTTTATTGTACACCATTGTTTGTCTGCATTACAGCACAATAACGTTCCCAAAGCAAAATGATCATATAAAGAAAATTCACACAAGCATACTACTTCACAAACTGATTTGACCCTGATTTGAGTTCTAACCGTATACTTAACCCTTGCCATTGTTCAAGAAGGATATAGCCTAATTAATCCATAAAACTTATATTTTTTGTCACACTTGGCCTGGCAGTTTGTGTGCATGATCCAACACAATAGCATTTATGATCAGATGAGTCTGACCCGTGTTTGAGTCTGACTTTGGTCGTATCGTGACCCTTTGACCTTGAGATTTAAAAAAATATATAAGGAATAATCGGCCTTTGAATTAGTAAAGTAATAAAGTAAATAATTATAAAATAATTTAGCTAAGGGGAGTTATTTAACACGACACAGAGACCCCTTCATTGGCTTTGCAGGGCTTAATGTTTTTGTAAAAATGGTTAATCCATAAAAAAAATGTCATTCATAAAATATACAAACAGCAACAAAAATGAATGATTATATGTAAATAAAATATATATTTTATTCTTCCACCAAGCAATATAGTTCTGATGGCAAAACGGCTTTGAACACAGCTCAACCAATCATAATCAAGGACTGGAGTTATCTGTTTTATGCTGAAAAATGCACACCCAAGCTCGTGATGTGGCCACAAAGTGCGGCTTATACCACGCTTACCACACCTCAAAACCACTGTTTTTATGTCAAGACATTTGTCCGGTTTTTGTCATTAAAATGCTCTTGTGTCCCAAGCCTCCGTTGCTAATTCTAAAACGTAATTCTAGAGGGAGTAATGGAGGCCTGAGCCATTGATATGCAGACTAATGCAGTTACTGGAGAGAAATAAAAGGTAAACATTTTTATCATATTGTTAGTCATATTTCTTTGCTTGGTCACTCTCTTTGTTGGTTTTGGTTCATTTGCTGTTGTAAGGACTTTGATATAACAAAAATAATTTGCCCGGGTGATGTTTAGCTGCAATGTAGTCGGCAGACCTGGAAGTACTTAATTGTGGTGCATTTACTAAAAGAAAAATTTAACACACCTTGGCACTTTCGTCAACCAATCAGAATCAAGCATTCAAAAGCCCAGTGGTATAAATATTATTATTATATATTTTAACTAATATAGTTTTTCATACTCAAGACCTCTACATTTAGTGATAAATGTCTGTTGCAGTGTTTAATATGAAAATAAATAGGATTTGGTTACATTTTAGGTGTCTTGTTCAGTTGTTACGTGACAGGTTTTGTGGTTATGATAATCGCATTTTACTCCGAGAACAACAGAATAGAAAGTTATCCAACTCCTTTTCATTGTGTTTAAAGCCCACTTCATGTAGGCTAGCACCTCTGACAATTTGGAATCTAAATTAAAATGTCTAAGTAATCAAACTATGGATTAAGAAAGTGATTTTTTTTCTCAGTGAACAGAAAACTGCAGTCTCCAGGTGAGATTGATTAGTTTACCTGTGCCTCTTTTCTCTCAATCTATAAACAGACCTCAGGAACCCATTTGAATGAGGTGCTGACACTACCATGTGGAGTGGACGGAGAGACACTAATAAGAGCACAGCTGGCATCTGGGCCGTAGTCTCTCAGAGCCTGGAACCCCATGCATAAATAAACACAGAGGCATTAATTTTCACAATTTATAGATTTTTAAGTAAAAGCCCAATGTTCTTCCTGAACTTTACAGACCTCTGCTGTTCTATGGCACATGAAGGGAATAAAGTGTTCTTTTGTGTCCAAGCCTCAGTGTATGGTTCCATTCAGGTGTGAACAGACATTAAGACTGCTGTGTTCAGAAGCATCATGACTGTGCAAAAGGCCTATGTTTGATTTTGAACTTTAATATTAACTTTAATATTTATTTATGTATTATGTATATAAATCTACTCCAATGACGTCTGTTGTTTGAGGTATTTGTCTAAGTTATGTTCTGTAGTAACTGACAGAATCCATTGCAGAGTTTAATTTTCATTTCACACATACTTATTAGCAGGTATTTGTTTGATTTGAACACTCAGTGTGAGTAACTTGCCATGCACTGTAAAAGATACCTAATATTGGCCAGACTATTGAGGTGTGCTTTTACTTTATCAGACCTTTTCACTTGCCAGATGATAAAATAGAGCGAAAGGTGGGCTCATTATTTGAACCAGTATGTAATCACCTAGCAACCATCCAGAAGCAGCTGCAGCAACACATATAACCACCTTATCAACCGCATAGCAGCATCCTAGCGTCATGCACAAGAGAATACCACTGCAATGTACATGATTAACTATGGTTTACCAATGATGAAATTTGAACAAAATGTAACTAGTGAGTAAGCAGTTCCAAAACCTTAATTTGGGGGAAGGACAGCAAAGTTTATAGATCTAAATGGGTGGCATTGTATTGACTTCTGTGACTCTGAAATGACCTCATGAAGAGTTGTGCAATCACGGATGTATTGTTGAATCATGGCTTGAATCATTTAGCTGCAATCCCTGTATATAAACACAGATGTCTGGCACCTCTTCCTCAATGTGAGTTGCGATGTGATAAATCATATTCTAGATCAAAATGTAAATTTTCCCATCTTTTGCCTTTATGGTGAAGAAACATTTACTGCAGCTATGTTAATGATAAGGAGATATGATGTCATAACATCACACTTCTTGGACATTAAAAAAAGTATTTAGTGACAATGACTGTGAAAGCAAAAACAGAAAAGCAAAGTTCTCACAAAATCAGCCTGATAGTTGTTGTTGTTTTTTTCATTTTCTTAACACATCACATTACTTTCATCAATCTTCAGAAAGAAGATTTTTTTTGTTTGTGCTGATAGAGTAAATTACTACTCAGGGTCACTTGGTCATCCTTGCTGTCATCTGGGTCATGTGCTGTTTCCAACCCGATCTCATGGCCATTTGTACTTATTTTACGAGGTGGTTAAAAGTCATACGAATTGGGGAACTTGATTTAGCAAAAATCTTACAAATTTGTACGATTTTTGCTAAATCCTATGTATTTAACGAGTTCCCCGATTTGTATGAATGGCCTACCCCCCTAACCGCTCTGTCACTGGGGTCTAGACAAATCGTACAAAATTGTACAAGTGACGTCAAATACGTACAAATTGGTCTTGAGATGGCGTTGGCTGTTTCAGACATGATTCTCAGCATCAAAATAATGATTACCTTTCATAAACAAAAGATCTATTCATTATTTATCAATGGATATTCTGTCTAAAGCTGCCAGCATGAATGATGCAATCCTTAACTCATGAATTGATTTTCTGAAAGACACAACATCTCAAGGTTTATTCTCATGAGCCATAAGAAAATCTCTCTCGTTTGTAAAACTCCCATCTCAAATAGGGCTGCACGATTAATCGCAAGCGATATTTAACGCGCATCTTATCAGTAAAGCCGGTTCTTTAATCAGCGGTAAATCTCCATCACCTGCGTGCTTTCACATTGAGCAGCATTAACTACACAGAGCCGTTGTTCACAGACGAGCTGCGCCAAACCACGTTCATATTCGCGCGATTTTTAGCGCAGCTCCTCAGTGAACAACGGCTCTGTGTAGTTAATGCTGCTCAATGTGAAAGC